TTCCTTTCCCAAGTGGGTGCATGGAGCAGGGCCAGCTGGCTCTCTGATTCAGAGTAGGCAGGGAGCGGGGGAGCCAGGGCCCCCTGTGAGATTGGCGTGCATTCCCTCTGGCTGGAGGCTTTCAGCGTCTCTGTTCCAGGGCATGGAGTACCTGGGATCCCAGCGCTACGTCCACAGGGACTTGGCCAGCAGGAACATCCTGGTGGAAAATGAGACCCACGTGAAGATCGGGGACTTCGGCCTGGCCAAGCTGCTCCCCCAGGACAAGGAGTACTACGTGGTGCGGGAGCCAGGACAGAGCCCCGTGTTCTGGTAGGGGAGGCCCGAGCTGCCAGCACCCGCTGGACTGCGTTTCGCTCGGGGGTGGGGGCTGCAGCTCCCAGAGCAGCTGAAAGCCAGGACTCCTGGGTTCTTTTCCCAGCTCTGCCACAGGCTCCCTGTGTAGCCTTGGCCATGACACTTCTGCTGCCTCATTTCTCCCCTCTGTAGAAGGGGGATAAACCTCTTAGCGAGCGCTGAGGAGATTCGGAGTGCTCCCCCAACCCACAGCACAATCCAACCTTCCTGCGGGAGGGGCCATTTCACACCTCTAACGCAGTCCATGCTAACAATGGTACTTTGCAAACATCAGCTAAACAGTCGCCCTGTGAGAGCAGTATTGTCAACCCCGTTGTACAGATGGGGAAACCGAGGCACCGGCCTGCGGCCACCGAACAAGTCAGTGGAAGAGCTGGGAATAAAACCTGGGTATTCTTGCCCCCTAGCCCTACACTCTATCTGCTAGACTTAGCTGCCTCCCCCGGTGGTCCCGTACAGCAGCGACGAAGGATGCCTGGCTAGATGGGGAACGGGAGGCTGGGGGGTGATGTTGGAGTTCTCTGATACAGGGCCCACGGCCCATGCATTTGGGGGACTTTGAGGTCAAAAATGTTGATTTTAAAATACGCAGCCAGCTTGCGTAAAATGGTGCAGCTCCCGTTGACACCAATCGAGCTGGGCCCAATGTCTCCGGCTGGGGATCTGGCCCATTTGTTGCAGTATCTGCCTCTGCAAACTGCCCCTTCTCTCTGCCCCTTTTGTCCCTGGAGGGGAGAAGCCCTCACCCACACAACCATCCTGCTTCAAACAAGTACCCTGATGGGCCCTCTGCTTGCACAGCCCAGTGCTCACCCACCTACCTCGCTAACCACCTCCTCCCCGGCCAGGTACGCGCCCGAGTCCCTGTCAGATAATGTGTTCTCCCGCGAGTCCGACGTCTGGAGCTTTGGAGTCGTCCTTTACGAACTCTTCACATACAGCAACAGAAGCCAAAGCCCCTCCGAGGTGAGACCGCTAGCCACAGCTTCCCCTAAGGGCTCCATCTCCTGCGAGCACCACAGGGTGCCATGAGTTTGGAGGTTCTCAGCCTCTGCTGCCAGGAAAGACCTTTGGCTGAATCAGGCACATCTCCCCCTGGACTCCTGTGGGAGCTGCCCCCCCCCCCCACCCATCACCAGAGCTGAACTTGGCCTGGTGCATTTAGGATTGCCCCAGAAGAATTGCTGAACAACCCCATGATCTACTTAGTCTCCAACATTGGATGCCTCAGTAGGTTTAACTCCCCTGCCTCAGAGTGCTCCTAATGGGGCAATCCTATCAGGGGAGGGTCTGGGATTCCTTCCTGACCCCAGTCAGCTCATACCCTGAAGCATGAGAGCTGAGAACCCTTGTCACTTAATAAATGTCCAAGCCCCTAGAAGCCAACTAAGTTCCTTGCTTCACTAATATCCTGCAGCAGTAAATTGCACAGGTGAGCCCCAATGCTATCCCACTGCAAGGTGTCCCCCCTTGGTCACTTATCTGAGCAAACATTCCACACAAGTGACCCATCCACGGCAGACTAAACTGGCAGTTTCCTTTCCTGAAGGCGGCCGTGGGTTATGTTAGATACAAACTGAACTTTAGTTGATAAAGGGATAATAAATGACAAATCGATGCTTTAATACCTGGTTAACACTTAGAGTCCAACCTGTCAATAGATTGCTTACAGCCTCTGTACCACCTTACCTTGCTGTGTACATAACCATCCCCGACGCCCTCCTTTCACATCTGTTACCTACTTACAGAACTTCAATTTGTTATTGATTACCCCTTTGTAAATGGAGCTTTGATAGACTAAAGGGTGACCACAGGGACTATATAGTATGGGGAAAAATCAGATTTAAAAAAAGCAAATGGCCTTGCAGTCCCCCCTCCTGCCTGCAGAGGGAGACAAAGTCACATCTGACCATGGAGATTATATGGCATGGGGTGGGGGTGGGGGGACTGGTTTAAAAAGAGATCTCGCAATCCCCACTCCTGCCTGCGGAGGGAGACAAAGTCCCATCTGACCATGGGAGAAAGGGGGGAAACTGGTTTAAAAAGAGACCTCGCAATCCCCACTCCTGCCTGCAGTGGGAGACAAAGTCCCATCTGACCATGGGAGAAAGGGGGGAAACTGGTTTAAAAAGAGACCTCGCAATCCCCACTCCTGCCTGCGATAGGAGACCAATCCACTCCCACAGTTTCCATTTCCTGCCTTGGTTTCCCTCCCTGCCTCGCAGGAATTTCTCCGCATGATGGGACTCGACAAGCCCATGCCGATCATTTGCCACCTGCTGGAGCTGCTGAAGGACGACAGGCGGCTCCCCGCGCCCCCTGGCTGCCCCGCCGAGGTAAGGAGCCCGTGCTTCCTCGAAGGCGGGGGTGGCTCTGCCAGGCACGTCCCTCTCCCCGCTCCGAGTTCACGGCTCCGCACCCCTTTCTCCTCCCAGGTGCACGGCCTGATGCTGAGCTGCTGGGCCTTCAGCCAGAGCAAGAGGCCCAAATTCAGCGAGCTGGGGCCACAGGTCGAGGCACTGCGTGACAGCCGGAGCAAGGTCCGAGGCTAGCAGGACCAGGGAGGAGCGGCCCAGCCCCCTCAGCAGCTCCCGGGCCCCTGTTTCTGTCTGGACTTGACACCGCTCCTCGCACCCTGCCACGCACACCACCCCCTTCTACCCCGCCCACAGGCCAGGGACACCATGGACTGTGGGGTCATGGCCTGCGCAGGATCCCACTCATGGGCCCATGCTGTGAAACTGCAGGGACTGAACTCAGGGCAGGGCCCTCGCCCCTGGGACAGAGAAGAGGACGGCGGGACACGCAAGGGGCTTGACGATGGCTCTGGCAGCCCCATGACCCAGCCTCCGGGGCTAAGCCAGACGTGTGCTCGAGGCAGAGCAGCAAAGGGCCCCGGGTTCCCTGCCAAGTGCTAGTCTGAAGGCTTCAAGGCCACAGAGCCGCTCTGATCCCTCCAAGGCTCCTGCGGAGACACCTTCCTCCTCCCCACTTCAGCAGGTTGGGGGACCGGGACCAGACTGCCAGCCCCAGAGCCACCCGGTGCCCTCCCGCTGGGCTACATCACTGGCCCAGCCCGGTGGCTAACGGGTTTGACTCAGCCGCGGCTGGTGCTGTCCAGGATCGTCGCTTCCCCGGCTTAGGCCTTGGCTCCCAAGGATCCGCTTCAGCAGGGCGCAGGCTGAGGCGCGTTCCCAGCTGCTGTGCCCAGCTATTTGCCCGTGCGGGTGACTGGGGAGACTGAGTCAGCCGCTCGTTGGTGCGGCATGCCATGGGCCGCAGAGTCAATCAGCCCATCCAGTCTGACTCTCCTGTATAACACGGGCTGGAGAACTTCACCCCACGACCCCTGTCCTGTGCGTGGGAGCTCGTGTTTGACAAAGCACCGCCCAGAAAGGCCCCCCACACCGCCCTAGGGCAGGCAGGCCCTCGCTGCCCCATGTGCTTTGTTCCTGTGGTGCATCACAGTCCTTGAACACAAATCAGAACCATCCGCTGGGCATTGCCCCTGTATTGTACTCGCCCCTGTCCCCCCATCTAGTGATGCTACCAGCTAGACCCGATCTGTATTACCCAGAGATCTGTGGAGCTTTTCCCACAGCCCCCGTTTGCTGCTGGAGCTTACACCAAAGACCCTCTATCTTTTAAGATACCTACGGGGAGGCTTTTCACACCCCAGTTTTTCTTGGAGAGGGAGAAAGGACTGGAAATCTCAGCAATCCTCCCCTCCCCCACAGACCTCCCCAGAGCATTGCCAGTTAAAGAGAGACACAGAAGAGCAGCACCATGATGAATTAATTTAATTATTCAGAGAGAACAGCAAGGTCTGAATGGAAGGACTCTTAGGGTGAAGCAGTTTTGGTCTTTGAAGCAGACAGGTAGTTGGGGAATTCTCCTCCCACATCCCCCCAAAAAATGGAATTGAATTGAAAATTTAAATGAAAATGAAAAACTTTTCTTTTGTTACAGGCAGTGAAAGTTTGTGAAAATGTTCAGGTTTTCATTTTAAAAACGCCGAAAACCCTTTGTACATAGTGGCCAAAAGCTGAAACGTGTTTGGCTCTTCAGCAAAAGTAGGAATGGTTTTGTCCTGTGAAACCTTTTCCACAAAAATTTCATTTATCCGGAACTCAACTGTTGGACAGCATAGCAGGGGCTTTACCCCGGGGACACCGGAGCCGCTTTGCAAAGAGTTAATATATACGAGGTACAAAACAGGGTGTTCCAGCATATGCGAGATGAACTCGATTGCTTTTTAAACTAGCGCAGCTTGGGTGGGCAGGATTCGAGTTTTAATTAGTAAATGTTGGGAACCATCGATTTCTCCATACACACACAACCTGAGGAAGGACTATTGCCAGCGATAACGAGAGACATTTACAGAGAGGTGAAGTAAGAAAAAGATGCTTGACAATAACAGACTTTGATTTAAGGAGTGTGACTTTGTACCTTTCTACCTGTGACATTGACAATTTGCGATTTAACGGTTTATAAAGCTTTAACTTTTTGAACCTTGAAGGTGACTGTCATTAAATTAAATCATTATTGTCTGATCTCTCCCGCCCATAATTTCTTGCAACTATGCAAATTGAAATAGACTAAAAATCGGGAAAAATGCATCCCATGAAGAGTGCTCTGATCTGTCGCAGTTATACGGAAATCAAAATTGAATTCTGCTGCGGTCAAGCAGAGAGCTTTCGTCACTAGAAACGCACACAACCCAGCCTTTGGCAGGAGTTAAAGGGAATTTGAAATCAAACCGGGCTTGGCAAACCACTCCCTCACCTTCAAAAAGCCAATCAGCCCCCTCTTCCCCCCCTCCGCCCAAAGTTACCAGGTGGTTTTAAAAAAAAATAATAATAATTTTGGCATCTTCTTATTTGTCTCCTGGCGCCTGAGCCTTTGAGTGGCCCAGGTCCAAGCTTTCATCGGCGCGCAGGCGGGTGAGAAACACCCTGGGGCAGCTGAGCTGCTGGAGTAATCCCAGGAGTGTGGGAACTGGAACCTTAAAATAAAGTCAAACAACCCCCCCCACACCCACCCCAGCGCTAACTTTAATGGTGGGAGGGTGGACAGCAGGATTTCGGATGACTGACAAGCACTGAAATGTCAGCTCTTGGCTTTCTGCTAGGCCTGGGGGGTCTTTAAATGGCTTAAAGAAGCCAACACCAAACTGTGTAGAACGGACTGGGGGGGGGTGAAAACGACCCCCACACACACACACACTCACAGCCGGCACTTCCTGGACACCCTGTGACGAAGTGGGACTGTTCTTAATGTTTCCTCTGAACAGTGTGGGGGTGCCTCAGTTTCCCCTAGGCAGTTCTTAAGTATCTAGGTGGTGAGATAAGGGTGTATGATCATTGCAGAGCCCTAGAGGGCAGGTGTGTGCAGGGGTCTGGACACAGAGAATGGCCGACACCCTGTTTCCTGGCAACTGATGGCCTGGGCCCTTCCCCCCTGCAAGGTGAGAGCTAAAGGGTTGGAGAACAAAGAAATCAGGTGTCCTCCTGGCCCCAGAAAGGGGAACGCCCAGAGGAGGAGGGGCTGGAGGGAGTTTCAGTTTGGGGCTGGCTGGAGACATGGAGTGAAGGGCAGACGTAGTTGTCTGGCTCACTGCCGCCCAACATGGACCCAGCTGCGGGGTCCTGTTCTCTGCACCTACAAGCTCTGTGTTAGACCATGTTCCTGTCATCTAATAAACCTCTGTTTTACTGGCTGGCTGAGAGTCACGTCTGGCTGCGGAGTTGGGGGGCAGGACCTTCTGGCTTCCCCAGGAGCCTGCCTGCGTGGACTCGCTGGGGGAAGCACACGGAGGGGCAGAGGATGCTGAATGCTCCGAGGTCAGACCCAGGAAGGTGGAAGCCGGGTGAGCTGTGTGTCCTGCAGACAGGCTGCTCCCAGAGAGGAGACTTCCCCAGAGTCCTGACTGGCTTCGTAGGGAGCAGTTCCAGAGCATCGCCCGGGGACTCGGTGACACACCCCCACTCCTTCACTGAGCAGGGCCCTCAGAAACACACCCTGACTCACCACGGCGCCAGTTTATCAGGGGCGTTGGTTGTTCCTGGAATTAACCAAACCGGCTGGCCAGGCTCAGCTGCTTGCCCAGAACCCCGGCTGCAGCATTCAGAGCTGGCTCCTCCGGCAGGCCTGCTCCCCTGTCAGCTGGGTGGCGGGGCTGGGACGGGGCTGCTGCTTTGGGCTTGTCAGCCTACAGGCAACCTGGTCACACTGGGGCAGGCCAGGGGCTTGGCTTCTGAGCCCCTTTAGCAGTGGGTGCTTGCAAGGGCCAGCAGAGGCTAATGGGCAGGGCGGGAAGTGGGGGGAGAATCCTGGCTCCTAACAGAAGGGCATCATCTCCTTTCTGGTGCAGCCCCGGGTGCAGCACATGCCTGCTGGGCCAATGTCACGCTCCACACACCGGGGCAGGAAGGCAGCTCCTGGGTTCTCCTGGGAACCTAGCACGGCCACCAGGACAGGGTGTCTGGCACCTTCGGGGGAGCCAGGGCCTTCGGCCGCCTCGGGGCCAGGGGAGAACCGGTCACAGTTGAGCCACCTGAGCTGTTTAGCTGAGAAAGAGAGAGAGCGAGAGAGGAGGTGGGTCTGTGCGTGGCAGAGGGACCAGATTCCGGCCGCCCCAGGTGGGGCTTCTCTGCTCAGGCCGGAGGACAGGTGGGGAAAACTGACCAGGGTTAGCACAACGTCACCTTTACCTACCCAGGCCAGCGCGAGCCAGGTCAGAGGAAGGATCTGGGGACCAAAATCTGGCTCCCACAACACCACTCCCCTGGGCTGCAGAGGGGGCAGCTGCCCGAAGCACCGTGAGCTTGGAGACACCTCCTGCCCCAGCCCCATAGCTTCTTAAACGCTGTAATGACCAGTCATGGGCTGGCCTGCCGGGGCTGTCCCCTCCTCGCCCCAGGGAGCACACGGCCCACGGCAGCAGGGTTCGCAGCAGGGCCGGTGAAGCCGCAATAGGAACCGGCGCCCACTTACCGCCGACTTTGCCTGGCTCCTGCCCGGGGCTCCGGGAGTAGAACTTCCACCAGGAGCCCCCGCACGAGGTGACGATGGGGCGAATGAACTCCCAGCCACACAGCTTCACCAGAGTCGTGCTGCTCCTCAGTGCCCTCACGGCATGCCAGTGCCAGGACGAGCAGGGCCAGGCTGGCCAGGTAGCGCGTTACTTCCCGGGGGGGCCTATGGACAAAGCGCCCAGGGGATGAAGCACAGATCCCGGGGGGTGAGTGAGTTTACCGGAGAGCCAACTGGGCTATGGGGACAGGGGTTGGGGTACAGGCTCTGGGCAGCGCTTTCCTCAGGCAGCTCCTGGCATCTCCCTCCAGTTCCTATGTTGAGGTGCGAACCTGCAGCTCTCGCACCGCCCCCTCAGCTCCCATTGGCTGTTCCTCTGCCTAGGAGCCAGAGGGAGATGCCAGCAGCTTCCCAGGACTCACCTGGAGCCAGGTAGGGAGCCTGCCTGCGCCACCGACCGGACTTTTAACAGCCGGGTCAGCAGCACTGCCCGGAGCCACCAAGGTCCTGTTTCGACTGGGCGTTCCGGTCGAAAACTGGACACCTGGCAACCCTACCTGCGACAGAATAATCAGTGCCAGGCCGCCCCCCGCCCATCGCCTGGAGCTATGCCCAGGAAACCTTGCGCCCAGGAAACTCTCCCCCACTAGCAGTCAGCCAAGCTGCAGGACGCTGGTTATAAAAACCACTCATTTATTCTCAGGACATGGCCTCAGTTCTCAGTGGAGGGACGGGAGGAAGGGAGAGCAAAGAAAACCACCCACCCCACTGGGAAGCTTCAGTTTTCACTGGGTTAAGACCCCACGGGGCAGGGGCAGAAGTCACAGTCGGGAGGGGACAGGAGCAGGGACCCACACGCTTTGCACTACGGGCCAGCCAAGCCCCCGCAATGTGTATGAAGGCCAAACGGCAGAGGGAACAGAATGAGCCACATGCTGCACCAGCCCAGGACACGGCTGATTGAACCAGCTTCCTGCAGCCGCTGGTGAGGAACTAGACTTGGCTGGAGCAGGAGGGAGCTGGAAGCCCACGACTCAACGCTTTGCAGACCTGAGGCCACAGCGTCGCACCTCAGAGCTAGCAAACCCTCGCCCACGCCGTCAGGGAAGGTCAGCCCTTTGCACCCCCAGGTCTGTGAGCTGGTGGCTTCACCTCCCACCTCGGGGTTGCAGGGCCCGGAGAGATTCCACGAACAGCACCTGGGAGGGGGCAGCAAGAAAATTCTGCCACAATCAGGGGGGAGAGATGGTCCCTTGCCAGAACATGTGCTGAAAATAGAACCAGATCTTCAGTTTCCTGCGACTTCTGCTTTCTTTGGGTTTTTGTATTGCAGGTCGGGGAGGGGATGGATGTTTTATCTCAGCAGCAGATTTAACCTGTGCAGTTCCCGACTCCAGCGCAAGGCTACACAAGAAACTGAACCACAGATGTCCTAGGTTCAGAAGAGAGGGTGCGTTGTAAAGCAAGGGGGAGCTGGGGAGAGGAATAGCTGAAGAGCTAGTTTTAAACATAAAACAAACAAACCAAGGCCAGGTTTCAGAGTAACAGCCGTGTTAGTCTGTATTCGCAAAAAGAAAAGGAGGACTTGTGGCACCTTAGAGACCAACCAATTTATTTGAGCATGAGCTTTCATGAGCTACAGCTCACTTCATCGGCTTTCATCACTTCATCACTTTCCAAGGCCAGAGTCCTAGGAAACTTTGGGCTTGTTATCTCCTCAAGAACAATGAGCTGATAAAGCTTCAGCAGCCCTTTGTCCTGAGCTCGGGGAACAGCTGGCAGTTTGAGAGACCTCAGGGCTCGGTGGTGCACACTTGTACCTGTCTTGATTGAGCAACAGATATTGCCGGTGGGTCGAGTTTAACAGCAATTCAGATCTCAGGTTTGCCCTCCGCTTGGGCAGAGCGGGGCAAGGTCGTATGTTAGGCTTCTGCCGCGGCCCCATGCCTGTCTGGCCGTGCCAAGCCACAGGCCTGAATTCAAAGGGCCCAGGGCAGTTAGTAAGTATCAGGCGTGTTCTGCAAGGGGCTCGGGAATGTGCTTCAGGCCTGATCTTCAGGGACAGAGCAGCTCTTTGGAAAATCACCCCTTGGTGCCATGCAGGACTGTGCCCCTGGGAGGAGTGAGGGGGCGGTATCGGGGGGCTATTAGTACAGTCAGGACACAGCTGAGCCAGAGAGGCCCCCGTTTGCTCCCTCCCCTGCCAGCAGAGATGCAGTTTTATACCCGGAGTCTCCCGCGCTGACTCGGGGCGAGATGGTGTAGCCTGAAGCCCGCTGGGCACGGCCGGTCTCCTGGCGTGTCTCAGGGCGGGGACACCGTCTCACTGGCAGGGCCAAGCCCCCAGGCCAGGCCAATATTTGTCCTGCAACAAGTTCTCACTGGAACATCTGCACAGACAGGTGCTGGGAGAGAGGAGAGGCAGCCCCACATGCCCTCCTGAGCTTTTCTACAGCTTCCCCAGAGCTACCCCGAGGGCCAACGCCACAATCCTTCGATCTGGTTCATCTCCTCCTTCACCCCTTGCCAGCCTAGTTCATAGGGCAAACGGACTCGCAGGCACTGCTTCCCTCAGCTGTTTTGAGCGGCTGGAAGCACCAGCCCTGCCAGTCAATATATCCAACAACCAGACCGTTAGCAGCAAGGGACTGGCCAGAGCGGAGGCCAGAGATCCCCTGTGGGCCCAGCTGAGAACACGAGACTCATCCCCCTAGTACTCTCTGCTGCATCATAGCCCCAGAGCTAGGCACGACTCCATTGACATTACGGGACCACAGCTAGTTACGCCGGGGCAGATCTGGCCCCAGAGCTCTGGGGCGGGGAATGCATATGATGCCTATCTCCTGCTCTTAGCGCCCCCAGTAAAACAGGGGCTGGGGCTGGGACCCAAGCCAAGCTCATCACACCAGAGACCCTACCCATTTCCTGCAGCGTTTGGACCTTTGGCCCCAGAGACATAGCGTCTGGGCCGAGATCCGGACATCGGCCAAGCCAGTGACATCCTGCCCCAAGATTTGGGCACCCAGGTGGCAACATGCCCATTAGTCAAGGAGGCAGAAATTCTCCCCTCCACGCCACAGAGACCCCGGTCTGGCGGCCTTCTGGCACTTGCTTTCTTGGAGGTAGCTGCCCCAAGGGCATCGCTGCAAAGGGATCCCTGCATCAGCTCGAAATGCCTATTGCAGCCATGGGGAAGGGAGGGGAAAAGCCCCTGACATCCCAGGAACGGCCAACGGGCCAAACCAGTTGGGACAGGACCCAGAAGCCAGTGAGCTGTTCAGCATCTCTGTGCACCCCATGCATACCAGCCAACAGTGTCAGCCGTAAGTCCTGCTGAGGCGCATTCCTGGAAGTCCCGTCCCCTGGAGCCGGGACTTCCTGGAATAGGCATCAAGAGCAAGAGGTGACGGGTCTGGAGCATTCGGGGCACAGCAGCAAAGAACTAGACAGGCGGATCACCCGCTGATGCCCTAGCACCTTCAACCTCGCATTACATCCCTCCCGGTTGCCCCCTCCCCTCGGTTTCCAGGATCCGCTCAGACGCCCTGATAGACCTGCAGCTTCTTCCCGCAGGGCAGGTCCGGCTCGTGAATGGCCCGCCACATCACCAGCATCTCGTAGGGCACGAAGCGGTGCACCAGCAGCAGCTCCTTGTAGTAGCAGGGATCAAAAGACTCCAGCTTGGCAGAGGGCACCCTGACGCCCACGGTCCGGATGCCCATGTGGGAGGCTGGGGCCAGCCCGGCTTTCTGCAGGCACATGCCCAGGTAGACGTCGTCTATGGGGAAGAGCTCGATGCCCAGCGACTCCTTGTAGATGGTGCGGGCCGTGAAGCCGGACATGAGCAACCCGCCGCCCCCGCAGTAGGGCGGGTAGGACTTGAGGGCGGTGATCTGCTCAGGCACGTAGTACTTGCTCCACTTCTCGCGGATGGGCCCCACGTCGACGATGAGCTGCCCCACGTAGAGGTGCTTGTCGCCGTCGTTGGCGTCCCGCATGTCCAGCAGGTAATGCACCAGGTTGTCCGTGTTGGCGAAGACGTCGTCGTCCCCGTTGAAGAGGAAGCGGGCGCCGGGGCAGCGGGCCTCCAGCCAGCCATGGAACAGCACCTGCTTGAGGGTCAGGTTGAAGAAGCTGTCGCGGAACGCCCACTGCAGGACGTCCCCGTGCTCCTCCGCCTCCAGCCACAGCAGCCGGTTCAGCTTCCAAGCCTCCCGCGTGTCCCCCGCCTCCCCAGAGAGGAAGACCCTGCGGATGCGGACCCCTTGGTACGTCCTCTCTGCTCCCCAGGTCTTGCGGATGATCTCCCGCCGCTCATAGTTCCCAGGGGAGGACTTGATGGCTAGGAGGAGGAAGACCCCCTGGGAGCCCTCAGCCCCCCCGCACTTGTCAGGGGCATCCAGCAGTTGGGGGAACTCCTTGCAGTGCTTGTAGCGAAGGAAGTCCCGGATGTGGCCGGGCAGGCTGGCGAAGCCGGAGATGTTGGCCACCGAGGCGTTCTCCTTGCACTCGGAGACGTGACATGGGATTGTGGGGATGCCGGGCATGGGGGCGGAGGGGCTGGTACTGCTGACTCTCGTGGCAGCCATCATCACCCGCTCGTCCTTGTTGGTGTCGAGAAGGAAGAGGAGGCAGAGGATCCCCACCACAGTCAGGACGAGGACCTCAAGCTTGCAGCCCCGGCGGGACAGCATCTTCCCCTGCAAGAGAGAGAGAGGCGAGAGCTGAGAACCCACACACAGCTGCACCTCCAACCATGCACCTCCATCCCTGCTCTGCTGGGGGTGCAAGCACCTCCTCCTCTGCAGCTCCTGCTGCCCAAGCCAGCTGGCTTGCATCCCATGGGCTCTTCTGTCCATTCATAGAATCATAGAATATAAGGGTTGGAAGGGACCCCAGAAGGTCATCTAGTCCAACCCCCTGCTCGAAGCAGGACCAATTCCCAGTTAAATCATCCCAGCCAGGGCTTTGTCAAGCCTGACCTTAAAAACCTCTAAGGAAGGAGATTCTACCACCTCCCTAGGTAACGCACCTGCCCCTTAGTTAGAGCCTGGCCCCAAAGCTCAACTCCAAAAGCCATTTTTAGGCATCTGATCTGAAGCACCCGGATTTTCAGAGGTGCCAAGCGACCTTCGTCGCTGACGGAAAGCCTGGCTGCTAAAGACATGCTGGACTCCTGCCGGTAGGCAGCCAGCCTGGCATCCCCACCCACTTCTCAGCAACAGCCCCTGACTGGTACTTCTCCACAGCTTATTCGAGGGGTGGATGGGCAGGTTGAGAAAAAGGTGACTGCATCAGTTCGGGGCATTTCTCCGTTCCCACTGCCCCCACCAATCAGTTTAGGAGACTCTCTCACAATACGTGCCGGGAATTAGACATCGCTCCATTGCTGCAGGGATTTGGAAATCAGATTCCCAACACACCTGGGGAAAAACGTCCTGCACACCCTGGATGTCATGACTGATGCTGTGCTGCCCACCAGGGCGCCATGCAGAACATCACAGCAACGCTAGGGGCAGAAGTCAGCACCTCCTCCCACCTAAACCAAGGGAGAAGCGCCATGAAGCAGTATAGGCCCTATGACACACAGTCTAGAAGTTCCAGTTCCACCCAATAGAAGGAAGCAGTGTGTACACGTACACACACACACTTTAGACTCCGCCCTCCATTCATACTGTAAGCACAGACACACACTCGTCAGGGACTGGAGATCACAGGGGGATGCAAGATGTCCCCCCCAGCCCGGTTACTGCTCGGCATTGGCATGAGAACCTTGCACTCTAGAGCCCCAGGATCCTTTGCTTCCTAGACCGGATGGGGCCGTGGCAGCAGCTTGCCCCTCAGCACCCAACAGACCCTCAGGATCAGCCAGGAAGGCCAACGAGCTCAATGGAGAGACTCGTACTGGCGCTTCGGATCAGGCCCCCTTGCGTCTCCCCCACTGCAACTGGGGGGAGCCCTGGAGAAGCAAGGTGCCCCCCAAGGACAGCAGCTTTATCAATGAGCTACCTGGTGGGTTGAGGCAGGCTCAGCTTCACATAGCTCGGGTCCAGAGGAGGCCTATCTGGGGCTCCAGTCGCTTTGGGACACCAGCTCCAGAGCCTGCGAAAGCCAGCAATTCATCCCTTCTCCCATCCCTGCGGCTGAGAAGACCGGTGATGATGCTGCTGCTTCTCCCACGGGGACGCCACCTGTCGCAGTCACCAACCCTCGCCAGCATAGGAGGATTCGTGAGTCTACACAGAGCAAAACTGGCTCTGCCTGCCCGTTTCTGACTGAAAACAGGGAGGAGGAGGAAGCGGGATCAGAGAATCTCATTTCTCCTGCATCCAACAGAGGCCCGGTGCCGCTTTAAGGGATGACCAAGACATTCAGGGGAGAGCTCTCCAGGGATTTAAAACAAAAAAAACTTGATCAGCAACAGTCCAAGCTCATCTCGATTTTGTTCAAGGTTTGCTGCAGCAAATGCCAACCACAGCCAATGCCTCTTGGGAGGGTGCTTTGGGCAACGCAGCTCCTGGCATGTCCCTCATCAGCCTGGGCCAGAGCCCAGCTCGCATTGCATTGAAAGGAGATTTTAAAATAGCACCATCGGCCGCCTTTCTTGTGTGTGGTTTCGCACCTTGTAGTCTCCTCCCCAAACACTCCCTACTCCACACACACACACACACACACACACACAGCGTGTTGTGCATGTAGACCTTTTCCTTGCTGAATCAGCTTCCTTCTTCTCCCACCGTCAGACACGCAATCACAGCAGCCATGCTCACCACGCCCTAATTGTCTCACAATGGAGAAGGGTGGGGGGGTGCTGCAGAGCACCATTTAAAGTGGGGCATAGATTTGCCCCATCCCCACCTCATCTGACCCTCTTCTTCTCCTGTCAGGTGCCCCACCTCTCGCACCAGCAGCCTTATCCCCCATGGTCCAGAAGCCCCTGCACCCACCCCCTTCCTGGAGTCTCAGTCCTTGCGGGACTCATTCTGCTGTCCCTCCCTGCCCCTTCCTCACCTTACCCCTCGGGTGACAGGTCCGCCCACTTCCCGGCTGGCCCCGGAACTGAGAGGAGCTGCTCCGGTTTTGGCATTTGGCAGGCGAGGACCCGGCCCACTGTGCTGGCAGAGCGGGACCTGGGTGCACGCCCCCGGCTGTAATGTGTGCAGTGGCTACTCGCCCAATCTCTGTGCTCGCAGCTGCATGGGCACATGGCAAAAAAACCCAACAACTCACCAGCAAACGAAGCTGGCAAGAGAGTACAAAAACCAGCCGGGCCAGTCCAAAACCAGCTGGGTGGCTACCCTATCTCATGGACACACTTAACAGTGGTCAGGCCATGGGCCGGGTGCCCCACCCCGGCTCCATGCCCTATGGTCACACACAGACACTCGCACGCTAGCCTCAGGCCACCCTCATCTGCCCCCCCCCCAAAGCCTACTGACAAAGAAGGCAGCCCTACAATTAAGAGGCTGAACGAGGAGCCAGGAGCTTGGGGTTTCATTCACTGGGTAGGTCGCTGCAGCGCTCTGGGGCTTTGCCGTCACTACAGAAAGGTGCATTTTTTAACCAAGGGATAAATTGACTCACTCAGCCACATCGCTGCAAAACCACAGTGCAGACAGGGTTTTTGGCATCACTGCGAGGTGGGGGACGATGAAGGGAGCCAGCCTCACGCTCTTAAGCTGCTTGCACCACAAGAACCCTGTCTCTAGCAGCATTTCCCAGGGACAGAACTACCCCTGCTTGCTCCCTCGCCGTGAACTTTGGGGTCAGCGATGACAAAGCCTGCGTCTTAGTTCCCCACGGGTAAAATGGGGTAATCATCCTTCCTTGGTCTGCCTGATCTCCTTGGACTGCAGCTTCTGCCTCTGGCCCCCTATCAGGGTGACAGCATGCACTCATTTAAAGAGCAGTCCCTAGCTAGCCCCAGATAGAGCTCTGGCATGCACATGCCCCCTCACAGAAACACCAGAGACAGCGTTGTCTAATGGGGCAAGCAGCAGGCTGGGAGCCTGGCGTTCTAATCCCACTTCACCGTCAGCAAAAAAATAATAAACCCACCCGCTTTGGGGCTCAGCTAGCTTGGTAACCCCCGACTCCCTGGGAGTTTGCAAGGATTAGTCCATGTTAGCAGAGCTTGCTGAAACCCAGCAAAGGAGCCCTGAATAGCAGATTGTGGACATTGGCAGAGCATCTAAAGAAAACCAGAAATCAGATCTGCAGTAAGCTGCATTGCTAATGTATTTGCCACCAGTGGATCTAAATGCATGGTACAGACTTAACAAATTAACCCTCTCAATGCTACCCACCAGGAAGTAGCCGCTGAGCCCCATGCTACAGCCCTGGGAAAGGATTTGCACAAAGGTTACAGTCGGTAGCAGAGCCAAGAACAGAACCCAGGAGTCCTGACCGCTGGCCCCCCCGCCCCAGATATCACACTTCCTCCCAGCACCAGAAACAGAACCCAGAAGCGGAACGAAGTGAACTGACGTCAGTTCGGGGAGGGGGGGGGAGGGGGGAGAGGAGGACAAACTTGAAAAGAAAAAAAGAAAAAATTGTTTCCGTTTGAACCTGGAATTTGTCCAATTTTTTCCTCACAAATGTATGTTTGTTTTAAGTCAAATGAAACATTTTGTTACAAAATAATTCGGGGGGGGGAATGTTTTTTCCCCTTTTTTTATTTCAATTCGCTACCTGTCTAAATGACACACCATCGCCAAACAAAACCCTGAGAGGTTTCATTTCAGAATGGATGAAAGAGTTTTGACTTCTTGAGAAAACGATGGAATTTTTTTTAGCTGAAACTATTCACTGAATTCGACCCAAATTCGCAAAGAGTTTTAGTGCCCTGGAAAAAAAATAAAATGCATTTTTGGTGCATTTATTGTTCATTGAAAAAGCTTTCCCTGGCTCGACCCAGAAGTTCCAAACCGTTTAGGGAAATGGTGAAAATATTTGGGGGTTCTCCTCCCCACATCCCTCAACATTCTTGCATTCCTCTTCTCTTCCCCCCAACAAAAATGTGGAAATATAAAGTCAGTTTTCAAAAAACAAGATTTTGTATTTTCCTGGGTTGCTGTTTTCTTTAAAACACTAAAAGAAAATCTCCAAATTAAAACATTTTTTCAAACACACAAAAGGAAAATCTCTCCCCCCCCCCCTCCCAGGGTGTTTTTCCTCTCTCATTTTCATGGCTACACCATGGTGGTCTCCTGGCCCAACTGCTCCCCTGCATGCAGACTGCAGCTCAGTCCCAGCTACCGGGGCTCTGCCTGCCCGCGGGAGCTGCTTCTCCCAAGCGTTGGCAGCCCCAGTGGCTTCCTGGCAGCTAGGTCTTGTCCCCTCTTCCCCTGAGCTCTGGCCACCGGCAGGGCTGCAGGCCTAGGGGCAGCCCCCCAGGGGCAGCATGGTCAGGTCCCCGGATGCAGTGCACCTGCACACGGCGCTGAAGGACAATGGCTGCCCTTATTCGTTCCAAGGCCTTGTTCCTTGCATGCCCAGGCCTTTATCTCCTCGGCCTCCCAGATGCTGATAAGGCACCTGGTTCCCAGTCCCCACCTGGCCAAGGGGCAGGTTCCTTGAGGCGGCTCCTGCCCAGATGTCACTTTTCCTCCAATCCCCTCCTAGTGGGACAAAGGGTTTCACTGGGTGTTACGATGTGACTCAGCAGGGAGGGGGGAGTGTTGACCTGGGAATGTTCCCT